GTAAAGAGATCTTCAAGTTAAAAAGGAACATCACTTTTTTCCAGTGATTGAGCACCAAGACCAAAACGTGAAGGAACATCCTTTGGAAACATGCTCATTCTTGATTGATTTTAAATGTCAGAGATGCTGCTGTACCTTATACACAGCCATTCCAATGATCAATTACCCTCTCTGCTGAAACTCTTTTTCACTCTGAATTGTCTAGTTTCTAGCTCCCGATTCCTTCCTTCCCCAACAGTTTAAAAGCACTTCTGCTCTGAGAAACATTCTCTTCAAATAGGAGAACATGGACCACTCCTAATTCCGGAAATCGAACAGGTATAGCAGTGCAAGCTCTGGTGAAGAATAGTTTAGTTTTCTCTCCATAAACACATGGCATTTAATTTATCTTAAGCAGGCAGATTTAACCGGATACAAGGCTGTAAAATTAAGAATGGGTTAGTGTGTAGTTTCAAACAAAGGAGGAAGTAGTTTAGTGGGAGATGTTTAGTCCAGCAGAATCAGCAACCCTATAATGAGTCAAAATGTCAGTAGCTGAAGAGAGAAGGTTGTTGCCAGAAGGTTAGAGGAGAAACTCATGCTCACAGAACATGCATCCTCCCTACAGGACAGGGGCTGAAAAGCAGAAGTGCATTACAAAGGTGTGCTACATGCCTGGGGATCTCCCATTTACACTGAGCTGACTGGACATATTGCAGAAATCTGCCTATTCCAGTAAATGTTTCCTGGTATCCTTTCAGCGCTGTTCAATTTTTATTCAAAGTGCTTCCTTGATCTAATACTAGTCTGATGTACTTTGCTTTCGGAAGCAGCAGTATCTGGCTTTCAGAGTGCCACAAGCACTAGGACTGCATGCAGCAATACTGAGAACTTGAGGTGGGGAAAAAAATAAGATAATATGAAAAAACTTCTCCCTAGTCACAGGGCACTGAATGCGTGCTGGGCTCCAGAAGTGATAGCAGCACAGAGGGCAGAGACTTTTATCACATCTCTTCTCCGCTCCTATCAAATGTGTTCCTTCCACCCACCTTCAAAGAGCAGCTCAAATCGGTTACTAGCCAACTGCAGCACTTTCCATATGAGCTTAAATCCTTGCCCAGCTGGCAGCGAAGAAAGATCCTGCATCCTTGCTGTGCTTAGAGAATACGACTGCAGTCTGTGGTAATTTCTGCAACACGTGAACAAGGAAGCAGCCGATTTCTGCAATTTTTCACCATCATGTAAATAGGACTAGATTGTGACCTAGTGTCACAATTTGAAACAAACATCAGCCATACCTATG